AGAAACCCGTTTCTAATTGAAAAAGAAGTGAATGGATATATGGTTGGAGAATGCGAGTGAAAAGCGGCCCGTCCACGACTCCGACACTCCCGCATTAACTCCCATATGCCTCACCTACCAAAGCGACTCGGTCAAATCTTCTAATTCAAGACTATTGTTTTTTTTAGTGATTTACGTAAAGATTTTTTTAAAAAAAAATTTATAAAATAAAAAATATTTTATCTATAGGTAAAAATTACAAAAGAAGGTCAGTCAATTTTTATTTATTTATTTATGAAAATCTTGGTCCTCCCTTTTTTTAATTTTTTTTCCAAAATTGTCTCTTGGTGTGATGATGGAATCTTCGGTCCAATTTTATTTCTATTTAATTTTAGCTTATTCATTAGCAAGGCACTGCCCTACTAACAAAAAAAAAATTTAAAAAAATTAAAGTAAAAAATTGGTTTGAGGATGTCCTCAGACCGAGGGGAATTTTAAACATAAAAATAAAAAGCCAAGTTGAATTATCTTTTCTGTAATTTCCACCTATCAATGAAGCATTTCATATTTTAAGAAAAATTTTAAGGTCTTTACGTAAATCACTCTATTTGTTTTTTTTTTGACAATTTATAACAATTTTATAACATCATCCTTTGCAAATTATAATACCATGACAGCCATTTGGCCAATGCAAATGCAAAAATAATTTTCATTAAAAAAACTGAAAATATTGAAAATCAAAAAAATAAAAAATTACAAAAAAATAAAGCCTCAACAGTAACTCTTGTTTTTGCTAATGTATCCACCTCCATATTACATTCTCTATACATTTATACAAATGAACACTCCATACCCACACAACAATCTCAAAATTCTCTAAAAAAATCATTAAAAAACCATGGTAATTCAGCCTCCTTGTAATTCAAGACTCTGGTGGTACTTACAAAAACAAGAGCCTCACTCATGATTTTCTCACCACATTAGACAGCAGCACTTCATCCTCCATGTACTCCATATAATGTCCTCATACAACTTAAAAATGACCAATCTCTCTCTCTCTCTCTCTCCTCTCTTTTTAGGGTTAGCAACTCAAGAAGCGCATGATTTCTCCACCAACTTTGGTCGAAGCTCCACAGACGGTATACTTGCAGTTCCAGAATTGCCCAAGCTCTTGAGAGGCCTTACCCCTGCTTCCCATAATTATGAAAGTTTTTTTTAGTATTGGGCGAGCCAACTCGGCCGAGCCCAAGTAACTCGTTTGAATTTCCTTAAATTGAATGGTTAAATTTAGGGCTCGAAAAAAATTCAAGCAATATAGATTTTTTTAAAAAATAAGAAATATATTTGTAGTATTCTTTTTTTGTTTTCTATCATTTTGGTAAATATTGGAAAGTGTTTTGGCCTCGAATATTTGTTTTATATTTTTTATTATTATATTATTTCTAAAATATGCTGGTCGCATATTGACCATCTTACACGGGAAGGTCCATATTACGCGGAAATGTGATGGCTAATTTTTTTGCTTAAAATATTTTGTATGCTATATATAATTTTCCTAACCTCAAAATTTGAGATAGTATAATTTTTATTTAAAATAAAAAACAAAATTAGTTTGTGGCTGTTGGATGACACTAGGTTCAGTTTGAAGCAATAAAGAGTATTGAGGAGCCTTCGCATCATGGGGAAGCTATACCATCCCTAATGAAGAAATATTTTTTTTGGTAATAATCTTTTGTTTTAATTTAATGAAAATAAAGGAGAGATGAAAAAAATTAGAAATCTTTTATTTCTTAAAATTAAGTGAATTGATAAAATGGAGAAATGAGAAGCCAGAATTAGAACTCACCACATTCAATTAAAGATACCTGAGAATGGCAAAATAAATTCAATTATCAATGCAACGTACTTTTATGACTTTTAGTAGTACAAATTCAAGCAGGAGCTTAAATTTCGCAAGTGCCTATTTAAATTTCTCGCTCTTAAAGAATCCACATAAATAGACCTCCATCTTTTCTCCCAACTTCAATAATAGTTATTTAAATAACTCCCACTTAAATGTCTATAGCCTCGTAAATTGGCGAAAAATCTTCATAAATGCTTTGGTCTCTTTCTTCCTTCAAACTGTAGAACAAAATTTCGAAATAGAGAAGACGATTAAGAATCTCTATGTGTAATCTAATCTAATCTATAGTCCTATATTTCGATTAGATTGCAAAATTTGATCTAAATTTCAAACAAACTATATCAGCATACACATGTTATCCATGTATCATCATTAATAACAATGCATAACAACTCTTTTATTTATATACGGAGCTATGTTATCCTCCCCTCCTCCTTTTCGACTCAACTAAATAACTATGATATGTGTATCATAATGTAATGATTGAAATACATTGATGAGATTTAGTCCCTAAAGCATCTTGTTTTTTTGGATCTCAAAGAAATAAATGTTTTTTTGGGGTTAAATTAGTCGGGCAAAAGCCCTATCCATTTTAATTAAATAATAAAGAAAATACATTTTCATAATGGTACACCCTTGCAATAGAGTAATGGTGGCAAATCCTGAAGTAAAGAAAGGAAAATGAATTTTGGCTAGAGGGCCAAACTGTAGCATCAAAGAAGGACATGGCTTTCTAAGCAAGAGTATTTGCCACCATGTTGCCCTTACTTTCTAGGCAAGAGTATTTGCCACCATGTTGCCCTTACTTTCAAGGCAAGAGTATTTGCCACCATGTTACCCTTACGATAGACATGAAAAATGGATTGCATATAGTCTGAAAGTCTATGTCGGTAGTTTGCTACTACCGTATGGAGTATCCATGAAGGTTTACATCGGCCTGAATGACATTGACGAGGAAACATGAGTCACTTTCAATCTACAGTGGAGAACAATCAAGTTAAATGGCCAAGTCAATAACCTCTTTAACAGCATAGAATTCCGTATAGTTGTTGGATGTAATATCAAAGGATTTGACAAAAGCAACAATAAACATATCCCATATCCTATGACACCTCCACAACATGCTAGACTTCGTTTTTGAAATAAGCTCTGTCTACATTCAACTTAAAATGCCGAGGAGAAGAAAAAATCCTTGCAACCAGACGAGGGATTTATATTTTTGTTGGCACCATGTTGGCCATCATATCTTTTATAAAATATATAATAGTGATTCACCAAAAAATATAAAATAATACAAGGAAATATCATTTGAGAGATCTTTATAAAATCATTAAAGGCATCAAAGTATCTCAATTAATATTAAAATATTTATCTATTAATTTTTTATTCCACTAAAATACCTCCTTAAAAATAGATTAATTATTTGACTTGGGCTTGTTCAAGATGGAGAATCCTAAACAAACAAGAGTATTTCCGTAATTTGACTCACCTATTGTTCCCTAATTAAATGATGAAAGTATATGTGCTTGTTTGGAGTGAGTGAAATACTAAAAATACTCTACTTGTCCAAGGTTACAATTTTGAAGACCGGCAATTCAGTTATTTTTAATACATCTTTTGAAAGGGTATGTGAGAGAAAAAAATAAAAAGACACCTCATTTTAATTGAGCCTTCATGATTTTATAAAAGATTTTGACCTCATAAATGATATTTTCCCAATATGGCGTTTGACAAATTTATTTAGTTGCTCGAGATATCACCAAGTTGTCTACAAGGTCGATCCATGAAATATGCCACAATTTGTCAATCCGTAAAATACGCCACCATGACTCAGTATTGTATCATGGTACTTGTTTGTATACAATGCGAGCACTCGAGTTTCTATCAGTTTGCCAGCGTCATCCCAACTGTCAGATCCCTCAAAGCTCAAGTTTTAGCACTGGAGTTTCTATCAGTTAGGTTTCTTCGATGAATCTCAGCGAGAAGGAACAACCCACCCCAACAATGCCTTGTTGACATGCCACAGCGGGGTATAGAAAACATTAGTTTTAGTACTGGAGTTTCTATCAGTTAGGTTTCTTCGATGAATCTCAGCGAGAAGGAACCACCCACCCCAACCATGCCTTGTTGACATGCCACAGCGGGGGATAAAAAACATTATTATTCACATTCAATGTTTTAAAACTCAGACCGGTGGGTGGATTAATCATTCGAAAATTTGTGTCGAATCACGGGACTCGGTTAAGGGTCGTTGTGGTAGCACCTCACACCTTAGTCACCACATTGTGGTTTTCATTCCTACTATTAACATAGCCCCAATAACCTTTTTAAAAACTCTAACTCCTAATCTACATGAAAAAATAGGTAGGGGCTTCTCTTCTCCAGTGAATTACCAAAAAAAAAAAAAAAAAAAAAAGGAAAAAGGAAAACAAGGACTTGACCGTCTTCCTCACTGAATTACCCAAATAAATAAAGCGAAAAATTTATATAGAGCTGAGGCTCTAAACAATCAAATTTGAGCCTACCTAAAAAATTTCATTAGAAGATGTTGTTTTGATGCTCATGAACATGAAAAAAAAAATAGATTTCAAGTTTTGAAAATATTGTATTTTGTAATACATTTTTAGACTGTCAACTTTCAAGATTTTCTAGTTTTCATAGATTTATCGATCTACACATCTTTAAACTTTATAAATAAAAATAAAAATATATTTTAAGGTTATCACTAATACTTTCAATATTGAAACTACATTTCTGATTGAAGAAGGGCTCTAATTTGATTGTTTAGAGCCTAGGCTCTATACAAACCGCACCCGTAAATAAATAATTGCTGGTCGATGTCCATGAAAGGGCAACTTTTCCAAAGACCAAGGGTATTTTCGTAAGCCGTAACTTCCCTTAATCGTGAAGAACCCACGGGAAAGTGTACCTACAGCTAACACCCTTTATTTACAAAACAACCCCACAATGACATCACACACATCACCCCTGCAAACCTCAAAGCAAAAAGAAAACACCAAAATCAGTCTTTAAGCAAAAGTCAAAAGAAGAGAGAGAAAATAGAAGCCTCACCAACAATACAAAACCAGAGAGATAAAAGATTGCAAAACGAAACAGAAAGAGAGGGATTGGAAAACCACAGACAAAGAGGATTTAGAAAGAGAAAGAGAATTGTAGAGAGAAAAATAGTTTTTTTGTGTTTGTGTGGGGCGTGTTATTTTGGCAGCCCATGACAGAGAGGTGCCGGGCTGGCGGCAAGCGCAAGAAAGTAAGGAAGCTGCGGTTTTAAATCGTATTGATGGCGTATTTGAGGGTTTGCAGGCGCACATTTAAGGTCCCATTAAGAAGCTTGGAAAGTGGGTAGGTCTGGGTTTTATAGTGTGTGATAAAGCCGCCGTCTTTTGCCCCCTCTTCTCTCTAATCTTCTCTAGAGAGAGAAAATCTGGTTCTTCTCTCTCTCAAAAGTAAGACGTAATCAAGAGAAGGTTTTAGGGTTACAGTCACTTTCTTGATGCGTGAATCATATTACGGAGATCTCATTGCTTTGAAGATGGATCAGTTGTTCTTGTGCAGGCGTGGAAGACGACCGATTTGATGTGTGATATATTGGATTTCTCGGTTTCATTCCCTTCATCAAATTTTTAGAGAGAGAAAGAGAAATGGAAATATCAAGATGTGGGTTATTGAGGAGCTCGAGGTGTTTGATTTTTTGCACTGTGTTTTTCTCTTTGCAAACGGCTTTAGGCTTCAATTTCACGATGCATGGTTCGGTTAGTGGCCTGAGGTTAGCAAGGATTCAGAGGCATTTGGAAAAGATCAACAAGCCTGCCCATGTCCTCACCACCATTAAAGCAAGTCTTTCTCTCTCTACAAATTGTGCATTTTCCTTGAGTTTCTCTCTCTAGTTTCATTCATGGGTTTGCTCATTTGCAGAGTGAGGATGGAGACGTGATCGACTGTGTGCGAAGGCACAAGCAGCCCGCGATGGACCATCCGCTTTTGAGGAATCACAAGATCCATGTACATGAACTTTTCACTTTCTCTCTCTACAATCTAATGACTTCTCTCTGTTCGTTTTTGGGTTTTCTTTTGCACAAAATCCATGTGCATGCACCATTACTTTCTCTCGCTTCACTCCACCATGAATTTTCTCTCTCTTATTTGCAGATGTTCCCTGAGAGGCCGAGGTTCAATGGCAGTAGGAACAGTAGTTGGAGTGAGGAAATGAAAGGCGCATGGCAAACGTGGCATAAGAGTGGGCATTGCCCTAAGGGCACCATCCCTATTAGAAGGACCTCAGTGGACGATGTTTTAAGGGCCAAGTCCTTATTTCACTTTGGTAAAAAGACACGACCCTACAGATTTAGAGAAGAACCTCCCGACGTTGTCAGCAGCAATGGCCATGAGGTACCCTCTCTCTTTCTAGATCCCCCCCTCTCTCTTTCTCTCTCTAGATTGTTGCTTGAAGTAAAAGGGCGTTAAGATGGTGTTTGGGTGGTTGAGGTTGCAGCATGCCATTGCCTACACTGGATCTCAAGAGTTTTATGGTGCGAAGGCAACAATGAATGTGTGGGATCCTTCAATTCAAGTAGTGAATGAGTTCAGTCTTTCTCAGATTTGGGTCCTTTCCGGCTCTTTCGAGGGCTCCGAGCTCAACAGCATCGAAGCCGGCTGGCAGGTAATAGTTGCTTTTGCAAAGAGAGAGAGAGAGACAGAGTTACAGAGAGAGAGGTTTAACAAGAAGAAGAAGCTGAAGATGATGTTTTTCTAGTCAGGTTAGCCCTGAGCTTTATGGAGACAACAGACCGAGGTTGTTCACGTATTGGACGGTAGGTGTTGCTCCATTAACTCTGGTTTTTGTGCTGGTTTTGCATTTTAGAGAGAGAGAGAGAGTTGAAATTTTGATTGTGGGGTTGTGTTTTTGCAGAGTGATGCTTATGAGGCAACGGGGTGTTATAATCTGCTATGCTCGGGGTTTGTTCAGACGAACAATAAGATAGCCATTGGAGCAGCTATCTCTCCTGTTTCATCCTACGGTGGCAGCCAATATGACATTACCATTCTCATCTGGAAGGTCTCTCTTTTCCGTCTCTTTCTCACTCCTCCGTTACTGCTCTCTCTCTCTCTCATTATTTTGTTTATAGGAGTTCTATTATATTTTGAAGAGTGATTTACATATGGATCCTAAAATTATAGGTAAAATATAAAATGCCTCACTTATTTGTGAAAAAATACAAAGAAGGTTGGTGAACCTTTTTTTTTTCTTTTTCTCTTTTTTTTTTTTCGAAATTTATCCCTTAGTGGACTCGAAATATGAATTTTTTTTTTTGGTTTTATTTTTTTAATTTTTTTTTTACAGGGAAATGCCTCAAGCTTTAAGGAATTGCTGTACTAATTAAAAATTAAAATAAAAAATTTTAAAAAATAAAAATTCGGATTGATTGATTGATAAGAAAAAAATAATTTGACTGACATTAATTGTAATTTCTACATGAAGCATTTCGTATTTTACCTAAAATTTTCAGACCCCAAACCCTACTATTTTGTAAACTACCCACCCAACCCCACCACCCCCCCCCCCCCCCCCCCGTCTGTCTCAACATTTGATCTCAATAGAAACCGATGTGTCTCAACATTTGATCTCAATAGAAACCGATGTTTCCCATCAATGCTCCGAAAATCATTGAAACCATTTATGACTTGAGAGAGATAAAGGAGCTCTTGAAGTCCAAAGACTTAGCCAAACAAGTTGCTCATTGACATGGTAATAAATATCTTGCCAAAATATTTAAAGTTGTGTCAAGCCGCATATAATTTAAAAAAAGTTTAGCAAGAAAACTTCTGATTTTTGTGGACTGCAGCTATTTCGAAAAGCTGTCTACAGGAATTTGTATTTTATTCAAATACCATATAATCCAGTGATCGAAACCACCACTAGGGCTGGGTAATGTAACAGCAAAAAAAAAAATATAATAATAATAAAAAATAATAATAATAAATAAATAAATAAATAAAACTACAAAAAGAAAGGAAACTATATTTAAATTAAATTGAACAAAACACATCTAAATTTTGTATTCTTTTTTTAAAAAAAAAAAAAAAAATTTTGAAAATTCAATTTGTGACGGGTATTTTCAAAATTTTCTGAAATGATGGGAACATGTAAAATAATTATTTATAGCCAAAATATTTTTGAATCTTTGCCAAAATGATAGAAAACGTAGAACATATCACAAATAGATGTCTTATGTTTTGGGATTTTTATAATTTAGTTTAAATTTATTTTAATATCCCCAAGTTTGGACCCCCAACTCTAGACAACTCATGCTCAGCCACTGCCCTAGCCCGAACAACTCGGACGAATCCAAGCTGATTTATCAGATATAATTTGCAGCCACCACCAAGAATTAAAGAAACCAACCTGCAAATGAGACTAAAATAAATAAAATTTACAATATGAAGATAAAGGAAATAGATGCGTATTTACCCAAAAAAGAAAAAAGCAAAAAGAGGAAACAGATACGTATGGTGATGAACTTACTTTAGCAAACATGAGCAAGACTAAGAAGGTTACATTTGCTTTCTGAGATTTTATTTATTTATTTATTTATTTTATTTTATTTTTTTCTCGTGAAAGTGTTTTCCAGGGCGACAATTGGTGAAAATTACTTAGGGCCCATGAAACTCTTAAGCATTTTTACAAGAAGAAAAGGTACCCTGACATAGATCAAAACCCTATAGAAGATAAAGAGGTGTGTGTGTGTGAGAGTATATGTAATTGTGTCCCACCATGATATACTATAACATCCATGACATTCATTGCTACTATTGATTGCATGTTATTCATTGCCACTGTTGATTTTATAGGATCCAAAGCAAGGGAACTGGTGGTTAGGGTTTGGCGATGACACCCTGGTGGGCTATTGGCCAGCCGAGCTCTTCACTCACTTAGCAGACCACGCGGAGATGGTGGAGTGGGGTGGTGAGATCGTAAACACTCGAACCAACGGTGGGCACACTTCGACGCAAATGGGGAGTGGCCACTTCGCAGAATCAGGGTTCGGGCGAGCCAGCTACTTCCGGAATTTGGAAACTGTGGACTCGGATAACAGTCTGAGCTCAGTCTACTCTCTCTCTGCACTTGCAGAGGACACAAATTGCTACAACATTAGAAGCTCATCTAGCCCCCAATGGGGCACCTACTTCTACTTTGGAGGCCCAGGAAGCAACCCCAACTGCCCCTGATGTCTCTCTCTCTCTGGTTATTTCCCCCCTTCTGTCTTTCATGTGTAACTCATCTCCATTGTTTTGGTCTGCCAAGAAGTGTTCAAATAGTTTGTGATTTATTCTTATAACTCCAAAGCCTTGTACCATGATATATCTTAATTATATTTCTTCATTTTCGTGCAAATTATAAGTCCAATAATGTAAGTGAATCGGTGAATGAGTACGTTTCCCTTTGCTTTTACCTCCTTACCACTCCAAGAACAAAAGGCCAAAAAACCAAGAGCCAAAAGTAGAACGGTTATTTAGCTTGCCTCGTGGACTGAATCACCCTCCTTGTGTTGTGCAGAATGTAGCACACTGTGCACATACTCCCTCGGCGTTTAGGAGTTTCTTTTTTAATTGGAATTTTGGAGTCCATGTAAAAATCATCAAATCATTATCTCCCAAAACAAAAAATTTTATTTTGGAATCTTAAATTCTCAGATTGGACCATCCAAAATATCAGGAACTCTAGTCAGCTGTTACAGTGATTTACGATATGGATCCTAGAATTTGTCCTAAAATACCAAATTCCTAGTTATAGGTGGAAATTACAAATAAGGTCCTAAAATACGAAATTTTTTATTTATAGGTGGAAGTTACAAATAAGGTCCATCAGTTTTTTTATTTTTTCAAAATTGCCTCACTCCAAAATTTCCTAAAATTGATTTTTCATTTTTTTTTAGTTTTACTTTGTTAGTAGGGAACTACCCAAAAGCTTGGGGTACTACCCTAACAAAAAAAAAAATTAAAAACAGGATAATATTTTGAAAAAAAAAAAAGTGAGTTAACCAATCTTTGTAATTTCTGCTTATAAATGGAAGATTTCATATTTTAAAATTTCTATTTTGGGTTCGTCCGTAAATTATCGCAACTCTTAAGTCTAATCATAAAGCCAAAAGATATTATACTCCTGCAAGGGTGTAATGTTCATTTACACCCTTCGTGTAAAACCCCACCTCGAATTGATTTTAGAACCCCAAATTTGATGATGCAACATCTTCAACTAATAGATTGACTCAATAAAAAAGATTTTCTAAATGTACCTTCTATGTACTTGAAAAAAATAATGTATCGACTAATATTTACAAAATTGAATCGGAACAGTTAACTGGACATGGGGTTGAAAGCGGTTTAATCGGCCTAATCGACATGTTTACCGATTAGGCCGATTAAACCGGCCGATTCAACTGTTCTAACCGGCCAAGTTCTGGACGGCCAAAAAATTGTTGAAAAAAATAAAAAAGATGTAAAAAAAATCTACTAAAATGTGAAAAGCATTGAAGAATGAGTAAAATAAAATGCATTCAAATGAAATTGAAAATTAATGAAAAAATAGAATTTAAAAACTCAGTATTAATGATGAAACTAATTTTTAATTTTTACTATAATATAAAAAATATTAAAAATGTATTACAAATCAAATTCCTTATTTTTGAGATTTTATAGATATTTTTTTGAATTTTTATTTTTAAAATACCGGCCGATCACCAAAACCGGTCGAAACCAGAACCGGCAAAGGGCCCGTTCCGATCTAATAGGGCGGTTACCGGTTAGATTGCCTGATTTTTCTAACGATGGTCTAATTTTTAGATAAACTCGAATTTCAAATTTATTTTTTTCGAGAATAATCATCTAACTGATCTTAAATGATTTCAAAAAATTTAGATTGAAAAAATATCCTTAGTAGGTCTTTTTAGACTGAGGGAATAGAAATAAACCATGCTCCAGAAAGAAAATATAAAATATGGGCTTGACCATAAAAAATACTCATAAAAACGAGTTCTTGGAAATGGCACCAGAAAGAAGCTTCGTTTTCCAGAGTTTGAGTAAACTAATTGAGGACTGGTAATATTCAAACTCTGAGAATGGGAATCTGCTAAATCGAGGCCAAAAGACCTGGAGTGAACCTACTGTAATTGTGGAGAGAGAAAGGGGGATGTACAGTGGCAGGAAGCAGGGACGTTGATTGTAGTGAGAGGAAATTAATGGAGAGTAGTGGGTGTCAGCACCATTTTATTGAAATGGAGGAACATTTCTTTTATTATGGTGAGATAGTCGTTGAGTATGATAAATATCATTTAAACTTCGCTCCACTAAATAATATGAATGAGAATCAATCACTCCTTATTAAATGTGGACAGCATTGTTGGTTAACACGATTTGATCTCCGAACGCATGTGACGTCATTCAATAATTCAAAGTCAAACATCAAGGAGTCCTCTTTCTAGGGCTGGCACCGGGCCCTGACCCGAGCGATTAGGTTTAATTTAAACTTAGTGGGTTGGGTTGGGTCCATGTCAAGAAATAAGAAAAAAAAAAAACTTGTTTTATCTACCTTATAATATACAAAGTTAATATTATTTAATTTATATATTTTATACTTATATATGCGGTCGCTTTAGGTTAACCTTGACCCAACACAATAGCGTCCAAGCTGGATCGGGACCCAACCTTGATCCCAAATCCGACATGCCAGTAGGGGTGGCAATGGACCCAGATCTAATCCGGGACACGATGTCCGGACGCGATCTGGGTCCAGGTATAGGTCCAAGTATTAAACCCGGCGGATTGGGTCTGGGTTCAAATATTGAATCTGAACTCTATTCGAGTCCATGGGGACCCGACCTCAATAGTGTCATTATATAAATACTATTTAATTAATATTTAAATTTAAATAAATATAATTATATAGTTTTAGTTATAATATTTAAATAATACATATAACATAATATTTATTTATTTATTTTAGGTTGGTTCAAGTCAGGTCCAGGTCCAGGTCCAGTCGCATCCAATCAAGTCTGAGTCCATTTTTTGTCTTTCAGGTCCGGGTCCAGCTGGACCCAACCCGACCTGTTGCGACCTCTACCTGCCAGGCCCAACACCTTGACATGGAGCTGGACCGGTTCAGGTCGTTGGCCGACTTGACCTCATTGCCGCCCCTATGTTCTTGTAAACAAAATTGGGGTTCTTGTCCTGCACCACAATAACCTGTTTTGTTAAGATGAGACTTTGCAAAATCAAACCAGAACGGTTAATTGGACATGGGGCTGGAAGCGGTTTAACCGGCCTAACTGGTAACCCGACCGATTCAACCATTCTAACCGGACAAGTCTCGGGGCAGTCAAAAAATTATTGGAAAATATTAAAAAATATACAAAAAAAAATCTACTAAAATATGAAGAGCATATAAAGAATAATTAAAACAAAACACATTCAAATGAAGTAGAAAATTAATTAAAAGAGATGATTTTTAAAGGTGTCTAGGGGTATTTTTAAATTTTTTCTAAAAAGATGGGAAAATATAAATATGAGTATTAATGACCAAAGCAATTTCTAATTTTTACCATAATGTAAAAAATATTAAAAAATATATTACAAATCAATTTTTTTGTATGGGATTTTATATACATTGGTTTTTTTTTTGTAAAATATCGATCGATCACCAAAACTTCCCTAAACCGGATCCGATCTAACCATGCGGTTACCGATTAGATCGCCCCGTTTTTCCTACATGGGATGAGAACCTTGGTGCACGTTCCCCAGCCCTTAGTCTATGCCAAGGCCCTTGTCCTCGAATCCTTCTCCTTGGCCGTTTGATCAACTTGAATTGCATTGAGTGCGTTGATAGGTCCCGTTGATATTTAGAGTGCTTAAGGACTTCTAAATCACCCTTAGTTACGACTGGCCACGGATCCATCTTTAGAATTGTTAGTCAGACGGCGCAAAATTAAATACCCAATGAAGAATTGTATAAAATCAGAAAAGTGACTTATATGCGGACCCTAAAATTTGTATTAAAATACGAAATGCTTTCTTTTTAGGTGGAAATTATAAAGGTAAGTAAACTTTACTTTTTTTTTTTTTTTTTCAAACTTGCCCATCCGTTCAAGGATGGAATCTTTGAACCGAATTTTAATTTTAATTTCTTTAGTTTTTTCTTTAGTTTTAATTGTAATTTTAGTTTTCCTACTAATGAAAAAAATAAAAAATAAATAAAATTTGGTCGGTGGATTTGAGGGGCATATTTGAAAATAAAAGAAAAAAAATTTAACCGACCTTCGTTTTAATTTCCACCGATAAATGGAACATTTCGTATTTTTTTAAAAATATTTCGAGTCCTTACGTAAATCAATCAAATAAAAATTACACAAACAAAATCACATTCACACCATAAACCAAAGCACATCGGAATTATAAAAAAAAAAGTTAAAATAAGAGAAAATATCCTCGTACTTCCTATTTTTGGTTTTCATATCTCAATAGACTAAAATATTCAAAATATATCTCCTAACCCCCTGACTAACTTTCCCCATTTTTAACTAGTTTAAAAAAGACATGCTCATTCTAAACTCATCATCTCTTTACGTGATATATTCCCCCAAATTTCTCTCTCTAACATTCACCCTCTTTGTCTCTTTAACGAGGGAGAGAGAGAGTGAAAAACAATGGGGAGAGAGGGGAAAAATAGTTAGAGAGAGAGATTTAGGAGAAAATCATGTGAAAAGAGAGAAAGGATGGTGTTTAGAAAGAATATGTCATTCTTACATTTGTTTGGAGCAAAAAAATAGGATGAAAGGGAATAAAGTTAGCTTAAGGGGTTAAAAGATATAAAACTAAAAATTTTTATTATTCCAGATATGTTTTGAAATCTTGAATCCATTGAGATATAAAACTCAAATATATAAATCTTCTTCGTGCACCTCATATGCCTCTTCCTCTTAATTTTTAATCTCAAATGCCTCAATGGTTCTGCCCCATGCCTCACATGATACATACATTTATAGTTAGCAACAACAAAATATCTCGATCCTCACAGGACTATTATGCCTCAACCATCTTTTAGCACTGGCAAAGGCCCGAGCCTAAGTGGGGCCAGTACCAGCTATGACTGGGTCCATGAGGCCCTAGCCGTAGCCTAACTTTGGAGTTTGGGCCTGTCTAATAGACCTAGTGAAAAAAATAAAAAAGTAAAAAATAAAAAGTAATTTACCTACTGACTCTAAAATTTTAAGTAAAATATTAAATGCTCCACTTATAAAAAGGAAGTTACCAAAAACAAAAGTGGGTCAACTTACCTTTTTTTGTTTTTTTTCTTAATGTTCATGCGAAGAAGGCTATAAGTTTTACGGAAGCCACTCCGTC